ATATATATTATAAAAATAATTTTTATTAATATAATTATAATAAACTATTTGAATTTATATTCATATAAAATTTTATCTTAATTGATATGATTTTATTAACTTATTAAGATTATACTTTTATATAGAAAACAAAAAAATAAAATAAAATATAAAAAGAAATTAAAACTCTTATAAATGAAAACTACATATAAATAAATAATGTTATGTATGAATAAATATTGTTTATTGATTGATTTTCAATCTAAGTTTGAAAAATTTTAAAAATCAGAATTCTAAAATTCATTATTATAATTAAATTTATAAATTTTAAAAATAATATTATAAATTTTAATTCTTAATATTTTAAGAAAAAAAATTTTTGAGAATTTTAAATTATTATAAATAAGATAATAAGGTTTTAAAGTTTATTTCATAATGTTTGAATTTATAATATAATATTTTATAACATTAAAAATGGAGTGAAAATGATCCGACATGATTCATAATAACGGCATCCGAATTTCCTCTCGAAATAAAAAAGATAATTTATCTTAATCTTGATCTTTGAAGATCGGAGAAATGGACGGAAAGTCAAACGCATCGCCATGGAATGAAAGGATTCAAGAATTGCTTTAATAAGGCTCTGGGAGTCTGCTGACACGGCGTAGGAATGCGACAAAAACGGTAATCGAGTAAGTGGCAGAAAAAGGAGAAGGGAGGCGAGAGAAAGATTTTGGAAACGAAAAATCATAAAAAAGAACGAAACTGACGTAGCAAAGAAGTGAAGGTCGGCCCACCCTACCTTGACGTGCACACTGTTTTAATGGAGGTAGAGAGATACACGGTCATTGAGAATCTGAGCACAATGCCGTACTTTCTTGGAACGTAAAGTCCTTCTATAAAGCTCAAGAAGAAGAAAAAGAAGAAGAAGAAAAAGAAGAAGAAGAAAAAGAAAAAGAAGAAGAAGAAAAAGAAAAAGAAGAAGAAAAAAAAGAAAAAGAAAAAGAAGAAGAAGAAAGCGACGGTATGGTAAGCAACGTGCAGGGAAGCCTTTTCGAGGAGAAAAGGAAAGGTGAATAACAAGGTAGAACGTTGTTGCGACAACAACGACGACAACAAAAAAGAAAAGGAAGGATCAATCGAACACGACTAACGTGGCAGAAGAGAAAAGAAGAATCTTCTACGTAAAAGAAAGAGAGACAAGAAGGTTGCTCGTAGCAAAGAAGCCGAAGAAACGGAAAGATTCAAAAGAGAAGATAAGCTGCAGCGATCAAACTGAATCGAACGAGGAGAAAGCTCTGAAAAGAGCTCTCATCCTCTCCCGTCTCATTCACTCTCTACTCTATCGATCTCTGTCCCTTCAATTCTATCTCTGTTTACCGCGGTGCACCTGTCTTCGTTCGCCTCGCGCACGCCCCGCCCCGACCAATGGAGCGTTGAGGGGCCCGGTGACGTCACCGTACAGCGCAGTAGAAGGGCCTGAAATAGTGGGGAACAGGATCGTCCACCACCACGTCTCGGAGGCCGTGAAAGCCCCACGGGGGCCAGCAGCTAGCTGGAATCAGCGGCAGCGGCCTGACCGGCCGTTGGCCGGGTTGGTGGGGGCAGGAAGAGGGGCACCCTGATGCCCAGGAGACTAGGGCGAAGGAAGAACGCAGGGTACTCACCGAAACCCATCCCGCATTTCCCACCACCGGCTCGTCCGGAAAACGTGCGCCACAGAGCTTCCGGACTGGTGCTTGAATATCGAGTTCGGTCAAGTGAGTCGGATTAATTCTGGTGTATACATCCGCGCAAAGCGGTCGATAATAATCGTAATACTCGAATTACACAATTCCACAATTTTACTGTCACCGTTACTATCGTCATCGATCGGATTGATTGCGTGTAGTTTCGATCCTGGAAAACGGACGATTTTCGATTTTCGATATTGAAATATTACGGTGATGGTTCCTATAGATTTGTAACATATAATGAAAATGATTCAGGTAAATAAACAATAGAAGAACATTCTATTTTCGATCTCGCGAGACGTTTGAAACTTATATTGTTATTATTATTGTTGATAACAAAATTGCGGATACGCGATTATCAAAAGAAGGAAAGGAGAATATTATATTATAAAAAGAAAACAGAAAGCAGAACAGTGAGAGAGAATCTCCCTCCAAAGGAGACTCTCGTTAAAAGTGAGAAACAGTTTCCGGTGTCGGATCAATTTTGCTATCATTCGATTAAAAATTTTTCGGATTGTTTTGAATCTCGTGGGTGATTAGACGCAGCTACGACGGTCACAACGGTGGTAAGAGTGCGTGTAGGGAGGGTGTGTGATGCCCTGGTTATGCGTGAGTGAGGTCAGTGGCAAGAGGAGGAAAAGAAGGACCGGCAACTCTTCATCAAACTTGTCGTTTTCACCATCATTATTTAGTTGTGGAGGAGGAGGATTGCCGGCGGCGGTGGTGGTGAGAACTCAGTGGTATCCATCCAAGTGTTCGTGAAAGAGGTACACGAGGAAGCAGTGACCGAACAGGGTCGTCCTCGAGGCAGAGCCACGTGATTATGGTGCACCATCATCATCGTCGTCGCGGCCTTCAGGCGAGCCATCACTGCGCAGTTAGGAGGCGAGGCGCGACACCCTCGCTGCTTCAAGTGTTCCTATTGATACTTGGCCTCTGGCTACCGATATTGGACAACGGTGCCCTCGTCTTGGCTTGTGGACCAGGCAGAGGTGGCGGACGACGTCCAGGTCTGAGAAAACTTACGCCTCTGGTGTTTAAGCAACATGTACCCAACGTTAGCGAAAACACGCTACCGGCTAGCGGGCTCAGCGAGGGTCGTGTTTCCAGGCACGATTCCAGGTTCAGAGATCTCGTGCCTAACTACAACGCCGACATCATCTTTAAGGACGAGGAGGGTACCGGAGCGGATCGATTGATGACACAGGTGAACAAACATCCAAACATTGATTAATATGCTTATTTGTCACGCGTGCTTCTTGTAGTTTTATGTTTTACATAGTTTCGAAAAGTTACATCTTTTGCTCGAATATATTTTTACGTGTTTGAAAAGCGAAATTCATGAGATGCGGTGAATAACCGTGTTCTTATAGTTCTGACGATTAATCGGTATCGTCTATGGTTCATTGGAGCTTAGAAAGTTTCTTTCTAGAATCGACTCTGATTGTACAAATACGTATGTTATTGGTTGTTGAGTTATCTGTCACAAATATTGATATCAGTGAGTGTTTTCGAGAAAATAATTAAACTACCATATAAAATATTCATGGTTGAAATCTGTTTCCTTGTTAGGCATTTAAAAAAATTATTTTCTATTTTTATACTTATGATTTATATAAATTATAGAACAATATTCGAAATTAATAATTAAAATTGTTCTGTTAGATAGTAATAAAATAACGTCAATTTAAAATTTGAAGTTTATAGATTATAATTAGTATTTTATGAGGCGTTTTATAATAAAATAAATTCTTAAATTTTATTGAAAGGAATTGTGAATTGACATTGAATTTTATTTCGATTTTTAATATAAATTTAAATTTTGTTGTATTATAATATAATATCCGTACAATTTGTCTTCGTTCTAAAAAATAAAAATAACTATAATATTCGTTTACGATTATTATAAAAACTTAAAGAATAATTATCAACAATCTAATAATAATAAGTGCATCTGTATTAAATGTGTATTAAAATTTAAAAAAAATTTAGAAAAATATATATGTATATATTGTTGTTTGTTATATATTTTATTGTTAAATTTTCAAAAATATTAGAAATTAATTATGAACAATATTTAATAGATATATCTATTAAGATTTAATAGATAATCTAATACATATTAAATAATTATTCATTAAATAATAATTCATTAAATAATAATTCATTAAAAATTTGAAAAACATTAAAAAGAATATTTTCTTCTAAAATTAATTTATTTCAAAATATAATTAAATTCATTCACTTAATTTTATTTGTTTAACAAGAAGCATTCCTAAAAGATCACCTATTTTTTTATTTTTACTTGATTCACTTTTAATTTAATTTAAGATCTGATTCACACAACATTCAGAATAAAATTATCGTTCTCATGTATTAGATAATCAATTAATATTTTAAAAATTAGAAAATCAAATTATTATATTTCTGAATTTTAAATTAAACTTCAATTTTTTTAAAATATGGAAAATATTTGCTGAAAATATCATTCAAATAAAACAATATAATTTATGCATTTTCGTTACAGAAAGTGCTAGAAAATAGTAATCCAAAACCAATAAAATAAAAATAAAAATTTTTATTTAAATAGTTTTATATAAAATTTAATAAAATAAAAATTTGCATTATGATATAAAAATTTAATACTGAATATTAAAAATATCAGATTTCTATGTAAAATTAAAAATAGATAAATAAAATTTCAATATAACATCAACATATTCAATATATCTGATAAATGTGACAAAATTTTTACATTTCGATTATTTTTTTTTTATTTTTCCACAAAGAAATAATTACTCGATGTAAAATAAATGTTATCAAGTTATTATTTCAAGTCATTAATATTAAATTAAATGGCCGTCTATTACAGTTTCTATCTGATGCACTGTGGATTCGATTTTGTCAGTTAAGCGTGTATTATTGTATTTCACGACCACTTCTTACTTAACGAAAGAAACGAACCGCAAACTCCGATGATAACTCGATAACCGACTCGGGATTTGCCATTTCTCGTTGAGGGTGTATTCGCCGATAATATGTGTCGTATATCAGACCACGATAAAGATTGTCGTCCTTGAAGGAATCCGTCGGTGAATCATCGCAACGAGCTATTTCAGCTTTGGTATCATCGATTCCCATTGATCTGCTGATTTCGTTGCGTTTTGATGATTAAGATGAGCGCTTCTTTTAAACTCGCACAGTTTCTCCACATACTGATTCATATTAATATTTAGATAACACATTGTGTGAAAAATTACTATCTTATATATTTATATAATTTCTTTTTATTCTTCTTTTATTCTTATAATTTATTATTTTATAGTGTTATAGTATTATTTTATAATAGTTTTATCAAGTTGATCGGTTTTTTTTACTATATTTTTTTTACTATATTTTTTTACTATATTGAAATATAATTAATACAAATAAATTTTATTTATTTAATATATAATAAGCAATAAATTAAATAATGGCGGAAATAGACATTGTAATGTTGGAATAGTGGAATTGAAGCGATTAAATCGATTCAATACAATAGATTAGATATATTCAGTGAAGTGTTTGAATAATTTTGCGTTTTTGCCATTAATTAGTTTAATATCTAAGACTATGTGTATTAAATAAATAAAATTAATGTTTTTATTAAATATAATGAGTGTTTTAATATAAAAAATTAAATTAAAAACCTGTTTGGATACCATATGCAAGAAATTATTATTCCATATTGCCTTGTAATAATATTGTTGATAAACTACGGATTTTTATGTAAATATATATTCTTTTTCATATTAATTTTACTTGCATGATATTTAAATATTATATTTAATATATATAATTAATGTATTATAAATAAATTAATGAATATTATATTTAATAATATATTTATAATACATTTAATTATATATTACGTTTTACAATGTTGGAAAATAAACAAATTCTAAATTTTGTAGAAGAAGTTTACTATGACTATATTACATTATATTATTTTAATAGACAATAATAATTTAAATAATAACAATTTATCAGAAAGCCATGAAAAAATTATTTTTATATAATGTTATTTCTGTAAATTTTATGATAAATAAATATATATAATAAAATTATTGATATTTTGTAAATATTACATAAGTTGGCATATATAATAAATAAATAATTTTAAATAATATAAATAAATGACATATTTTATATATATTTGATTTATCTACATAATTTAGTTTATCTATATATAAAAATCTGCTTCAATCTGCTATTGAATTGATTGTTTTTTAATGTATTAAAACACAAATTTTATTAGAAATATAAATTATACTTTTTTTTTACTATTTCATAGGTTACAATCCAAATATGATTTGATGTTTTCTTTCTCTTTCTGTTATTAATAGAATTATATTTCTTCTAAAATTTTATTTCTTTTAGATCAAGGCTATCTTTAATGTAGTTTTGGTATATTACAGTCATGCTTTTATGGAATCTATTTCTATTTTTGAGTTTTAAATTTTTTGTACTCATAAAAGCAAAATTTGTTGATATTAATTAGTTATAATAGTTAAAGATTTAGAAATTGATTTTGATTTGATTAATATTTTATTTATTTAATGCAAAATAAGTAATAAATTAAATAATAACGAAATCGCAATCATTGATATCGCAGATTATATGAATTTTATATTAATAAATATTATACGAAATATTATTAATAATAATTATATATTATATTTTAATTATATTTTTATAATATTTTTTAATTATATAATTATTATTAATAAATATATAGTAGATAATAATAATATAGAATAAATATTATAGTAGATAAAATCAATTAAATAAATAAAAATTTATTACATCCAATATTTTATGCAAATATTTTTATTGAATTTCGTGTTTCATTAATTAATTATTACTTTGTTAAAGGGATTAGAAGTTTCAATTTTTTTTGTATAAATATTTTCTATGTAGATTATTAATTTTTTAATTCTTATCATTATTATATTTTATGAATTACAAATCTTCTTCCATAATCATGTATGATAAATTTATTATTTTTTTTTTTTTGAAAATAAACATATAAATGTTCTTAATAAAATGTGAATTAATTTTATGAAATGATAATGATTTTCTTTATTTCTTTATCCAAATTTATATGTAGCTAAAAATATCATTTGTTAAAGAAAATTAAATTATTATGTTATTAATTAAATTATTAAACTAAAAAATTTATAAATCAAAATAATACTAATGTTTAATGATTTATAATATCTCAAAAAATTTTTTCTCTAAATTTAAATTTGAATAATTTAAATATTATGACAACTTTCGTTCATTATAAAAATCACAAACAAGAATTTTGTTTGTGATTGTATGTTTTCTTTCATTTTAATAGGAAAGTTTTGTTCGTTTCCTAGAGAATTTTAGAAAGAAGAAGTTGCAGTCAGTGACCTTTACGTTTCGATTCCGATAATAGTTAGCTGATTCACGCGAGAATAGTTTACGCGTTTCGTTTTGAGAAATTTGGTTATTCAAAGGAATGATATATGGCAGCTTGGTTCAGATCATTGGGAGAGTATAATGCCTCTTAAAAACGTAACAATGGATTTCCGAATAAATATCATGGCTCAAAAATCGGAGATCGAGTGATGATTATGTTTTATCGTTAATGTTTTATCGTTAAGAGATTACATTCTTTTTTTTGGAATTGATTGGTATGCTAATATATGATAAAACAATAAAAATAATTGATCTTCTAATTTCGTTATGCAATATTACATTTGTTTTAAAATAATTTTATATTTTTTCATGATTTTCATTGGCAACATGATTGATTAAAAGTTAAATGAAGTACTAATTAATTTCGATTACATTACGGTTTAGAATTTATTTTAAATATAAATTAAGAAGTTTTATGTGAAATTTGTTATCTAAAATTATTCATGAAAAAACAAGAAATTTTATTGACCGAAGGTATAAATTATTAATTTTGCTTTTTTTATCGGTTTGAAAATAGATATTCAGATTTTAGTCATATTTCATGATTTTAATAAAAAGATATAATATATTATTTGAGCATTATATAAATTTGAGCTTTATATATATAATATATTAATAGGAGGGATTAATGATGAAGGATTATTTTTTGAAAAATAAAAAATTATAATTCTTTGTTTAGCAATAAAAAACAATTATAAAAAATTTATCAAAATTTTTCTG